CCCTACCTTCCACTGTGAACGTAAAGGAATAAATAAATAATATATATATAGTTTGAAGACGTCGTTGTGTTTTGTGCGATTCACCTGTATACTTTCTGTCACTAAACATATTTTGTCGTAAAGGGATTTTATTCGATTCCTAATCCATTCGATGTATCTGGTGTTACCTAGAATTTGACCTATCATTTTATGAGTTGTTGTAAACATCCTTTAAATGTTAATAAATGTATGGTTTTCAAGCATGTCTAGAAATATGGTTGGAATAAGGAAAGAACAAACATGTCTGCAGGATAATATGGTCTTGTCTTATTTCGTGGATTCTCTTCAACTGCTTACATCCTATATAAATCACTTATATGCTACAAAATACTGTTCTAAACATACTTTTTACAATGACTTCAAGAAACTATCAGCAACATAATTTCACCGATGACGTATGTAGACGACTATTTAGTGTTAAAATAGTAACTATTTTTATATAGTGATCAGACAGAGGGGTGAAGTTCTGATTTCTCTTGGAGACAAGGACGGACTGGAGACAAAATACAAGATAGAACGATAGAGATAATTTATACATACTCCAGTGGAGAATTCAGGAGGGTGAGGATGAATAGTGAAGTGAAATTATAAAATAGATTAAAATAATTTAATTTAGTAGACATGAAACATTAAAAGTGGGTTCCACTCAGTCAGTAAGTTAAAATCAAAGTCAAATATGAGTAGAATATTACACAACAGAAGAAAACACAATGGCATACGAACAAAACTGAACACAGACAAGATGGAGGTTATGAAAATAACCAACCAACCAACAACAACAACATCCAGCGCCAATCACAATCAACGGAAGGGATTTGAAAGAGGTGACTTCATTCACTTATCTAGGGAGCATTGTCTCAACTAAAGGAAGTCGGAACGGACGAGGATGTCAAATCGAGAATCGGGAAGGCGAGCGAGAAACACATTCATCAACCTGAAACCAATCTGGGAATCTTCGTCACTCAGCCAGCATCAACAACAAAATTCGGTCGTATTTTCAATACAAACGTCAAGTCAGTCAGTTCTTCTATACGGATCAGAAAATTGGCGGGCGGGTCACAAAGAATATTTCCAACAGCCTGTTGCAGACCTTTATCAACCAACAACTGTCTTCGCTGGCTCTATACTGAAGATCAGATGGCTGGGGGGTCGGAAAGAATCACCGACAAGAAACTATGGGCACAAACAAACGAAACAAGAACCAATCGCCAACCAACAAATATACAGGAGAAAGTGGAGATGGATTGGACACTCTCTGAGAAGGCCGCTGGGTGACATTGCGTGCGCGTCAGGCCATTGCTCGAGTGGAACCAGGCCGAAAGGGAAGCGGCGTGTGGGACGTCAGTGCAAGGGTGACATGGAGAAGATGGTGTGAAGAGGAGTTGAAACAGTATGGACTAACATGGAGAACAGAAGCAAGTGGTGACGTGCAGTTGAAGCCTTATGTTCCACTAGGAACTTAAGGAAACAATAATAATAATACGAACAAAACAATTACGGTTACCAAGGTAGTGAGAGATTGTTCACCCTATCATTCTGTATGCATAGGTTGGGTCGAAGTCTTTTGATAGCGATGACTTCTGAGAACCGTTCGCCTGCCTGTTGCTTCACTAAACTAGCTGATAATAATGTTAGCCGAAATTTTGAAAACGGCTTCTTACAACTTATTGGTATACACCTTTAACTCTGAGTGAACTGATAGTTATAGTCGAAGTAGAATTCCTAAAATTTGAAATGTCTTCATCATTTTAACTCAATCCTTTTTGAAACGTAAACGTTTTCACTTTACTCATACATTAGCCCTGGAACACTATTTTCACAGTTACATATACATTTTCTTCTGCTATGTATTATTTTATTATTTATTTAAATGATACTTACAGAAATTGTACATTGTACACTGTTGAAGTCAGACATATAACTCCAGACAAAGAAAATTAATGACTCAATGACGCTAAGAACTTAAACTTACTCAGGTGTCTAAAAACTAATTATTTTACACTTAACAAGACATCCAATCCAATGGAAAACATTAATTGAAAGTGAATTATGCCCTAGATATTAACGACTGCTCATAAAGTCTCCAACTGTTTAGTGAGACTATCTTTTAGCTGTGAGCTTCACAATGGATCAAGTGTACACGCTATCCATCTTTTAACAAATTATGAAATTTCTATCATTCATTATTCATACTTTCCTTATCTCAGCTAATTAAATTCAACTGATTTTTTCATTATTATTTTCCCGCTTCTTCTAACTGGTTTGTACATTCTATTAAATTTCGGGCCAAATGGGAAGCGACGAGTTGGTCGTCCTAGGGTGACTTTTAGGCGATTGTGCGAAAAGGAGATGAGATATTGTAGACAATCGTGAACCCAGTCGTCTGAAGAAGACAACAGAAAGTAGAACAAAGTGAAGATTTGTTCAAGCCGAATGTTCCACTCGGAACCCAAGGAGATTATAATTATTGTTGTTCCCTTGGGTTCTTAGTGGAACATAGGGCTCTCTGTCTTCTACTGTACTTTTCGCCTTCATCCATGTTAGTCCATACTGTTTCAACTCCTCTTCACACCATCGCCTCCATGTCACCCTTGCACTGACGTCCCACACGCCGCTTCCCTTTCGGCCTGGTTCCACTCGAGCAATGGCCTGACGCGCACGCAATGTCACCCAGCGGCCTTCTCAGAGAGTGTCCAATCCATCTCCACTTTCTCCTGTATATTTGTTGGTTGGCGATTGGTTCTTGTTTCGTTTGTTTGTGCCCATAGTTTCTTGTCGGTGATTCTTTCCGACCCCCCAGCCATCTGATCTTCAGTATAGAGCCAGCGAAGACAGTTGTTGGTTGATAAAGGTCTGCAACAGGCTGTTGGAAATATTCTTTGTGACCCGCCCGCCAATTTTCTGATCCGTATAGAAGAACTGACTGACTTGACGTTTGTATTGAAAATACGACCGAATTTTGTTGTTGATGCTGGCTGAGTGACGAAGATTCCCAGATTGGTTTCAGGTTGATGAATGTGTTTCTCGCTCGCCTTCCCGATTCTCGATTTGACATCCTCGTCCGTTCCGACTTCCTTTAGTTGAGACAATGCTCCCTAGATAAGTGAATGAAGTCACCTCTTTCAAATCCCTTCCGTTGATTGTGATTGGCGCTGGATGTTGTTGTTGTTGGTTGGTTGGTTATTTTCATAACCTCCATGTTGTCTATGTTCACCTGGAGTCCTGTCTTCGCCGGCTGCTTCTTCGACCAATTTGTTGGTTTTCGCGTGTAAGCCTTCGATTTTGTGTGACATCAAACCCAAGGGAATAGTAAAATAAAATTTAATTTCGAAGGAAAATTGAGTCACATATCAACATCAGTTGGACAACCGCTAAAAACTAAAAATCATTGGGCAACTTTTTATCTTAACTTTGGAATTTTAACACTGGGCCGTGACGAAATCGAACTTGTTATTACTAGCATTACTCGACGATCACTTAAACACTTATCCTCCAAGTCAGTTACTGTCTTTTTGTTCAGTGGTCGATAGCTGACGCTTTATGCGATCACAGTTATGTGCTGTTAAATAATTTCAAACCAAGAAAATACAGTTATTCAATATTCTGTCTGTTGCCACTTTGTGACGAACAAATAACACGCATGCAATCGACGTTATCTGCGATAATGACTGTTTACCTTCAAAAGTTGCCATCCTTCTTTACAGTTCACCATAGAAAAGGAATTTGAACAAAGTACTCCGTTTCTTGATGTGCTCCTTAGAAGAAGTAATGACGGATCTCTCAAAAGATCTATCCGCTGGAAAAGTACATGCAACGGACAACTGTCTACAGGAAGAGGAACCTAATTCATTCGCTCTGATTTAGGATAAGAAGCATTTGTAGTTCCGTTAGCGCTGACTCAGAACATAACTTCCTAAAAGCCACGCTCTCATATAACGGTCGCCCAAACCGATTTATTGACAGAAACACGAAAGATAAGCAGTCTAAACTGGTCACCAACTGAGTTCCAAAGAAAATGTTATTCATGAACTTGGAATTTAAAAGTGATCAAGCTTCAGATATGCTGAAAAATTGTCTCTCTAAAGCAGTCAGTAAGACACCCTTTGCAGCAAAATTACAAATGTCTTTCATCAGCCGAAAGTTGTTCTCCATCTCTGTAAAAGATAAATTCCTTTGTCTGGCCGCCTCCATGTGCATCTATCAGTTCACCTGCTCTTGTGGAGCAAGGTGTATTGGTCGTAGCCAGAGAAAGCTTTACACATGGATACGAGAACATATTCCACCAGCATGATTTCACTAGGGAGAAAGGAAGTGTGTGAGAAGCTCTATTCTAGAACACTGACTGGATCAACTCCTGTCACTCTAACAACCCTGACCGTGATTTTAAGATCATCATCTATCGAATCCATGCTAACCTGACACGTTTTCTTCGATATAGACTTCTAACGACAGCGGAGGCCTTGGTCATTCGTGGATTAAGGCTAGACCTTTGTTTTCAAAAGAATTATGTACAATCCCTACTTCTGTCTTGGCCGTAGAGGGATAGACACTTATTTATTTATTTTGTTTATTTAGTTAATCTATGTACCTTTCCCTCATTACTACGACTATTACTATTCTCCCTTTGAACTGTTTCCACTTGTCCCACTTGTCATTCTAAATCCAAGAATGCTTTTTTACAACGTTTAATGTTGACCTACTAATCCTATAATTATGACATCGATTGTTTTGCTACTTGACACTAAACTATGATTATCATCACAAATATTTTATTCGCATTTCATACTACTATTATTATTATTAATTCATGTATTCATACCTTTGATCTAATTCCCTCACCGGTATACAGAATAGTCCGAATATTCTCTTGTTTTTAGTTATTTTTTGTATACAAACTTTAAAAACAACTAAATTGATCTAGTAAATATTCTTGTTTTGTTGTATTTTCCTCTTTTCTACAGGGAATCATGCAGAGAATTTGCTCAAAGATTCTAATGCGTTGACAAGTCAATCTTGATCAATTAATTATCTGCGCAATTAAGCCGTCAATTGATATCAAAATAAAAAATATGAAACAATTAAATGGTTCATGGCGTATACTGGGAAGTCAGCCCCTGCCGCTCCTTCTCTCTCTCTCCCTGTGGATTACTTCAATGCCTCATGAGAAAGAGAGAAAGAGAGTCAAAAGTTGTATATGTTTCGATATTCGATTTTTTTATATTTGTGATCCACTAACTCCCGTTTCATTATCCTACCGGATTCACTACAGTTTATCTTACATTCAACTTGTAGTCAGTTCAATCAACAGCTTTGTATACCTCCATCTGAATTAAAACTATTTATTCCTCAGTTTTGATATTACATATCTATCTATCTCAGACAATCTTAATCATCACTTTACTCAGTAATGCTTTTCTTGTATAATTTACTCCAGTTTGTATGTGATAAATGTTGATTTTGTATTATTATTATTATTATTACTATTATTATTATTGTCTAACACTGAAGTCAACTGTCGATATCAGTAATTTCAAGCACATATCTCTGCAGTCACTTAGTTCTAGAGTTCATCAGGCACTGAACACTCTTCATTCTTCGTTGAGGATTTACTGCGGACACAGTACACCTTATAAAACAAAATAAGACACATATTATTACACGAAACAGTGATATGCATTTTTTTCTTTCTTTTTCTTTTTTCAAGTACCATTTTACTTTATAACCATCAATGTACTAATTAATGTATAAAACATTTCGTCTGATGAATTCTTCAGGAAGAATTCTCCCCTGTTGGGTTGCCTAGTGAGTCTGCAGTAAATGCTTTCACGCCTTCAGAAAAAAAACAGACAGTGTGTAGGAAGATTTACAAAAAACAAAATTCCTTCCTGTGTGTTCCCCTTACTTCTCCACACATCTCAATCAATACCTGAAAATGAGAATAGCAGGCTAAAAGGAGAGAGAGACTAAACCAAGCCAGATAATGAAATTATAAAAATTAATAATAATCCTTCATTATGATGTGTTATTTTTATGCAAAAGAGAAAAAGTTTATACAAGAGTTTTCAAATAAAATTTCATCATCTTCTATCTATATTCTATTTATCAGTAGGATAGAATTACTTGAATTTCGATGTTTCTGTCATTTGTTTAGCCGCCTTTATATTCTCATCGAGGGCACATATAGGCATCGAAAAAGCTAAAAAAAAATGCAAACCACTGATGTATGTTTTCGTTTAGTGGTTATTCAAACAGTGTTTGCACAAAACTGTTCGTGTTCTCCTTCTTCTTCTTCTTCTTTCACTCTTTTAATTTTTAATTATTTTCCTGGAATTTTGAGAAATTTTTAAAGCCTGTTCACTTTGTAATCATTTCCGTTATTCATCCTAAATAGGTCAAAGTGATTTCTTTTTGTTCATTGGTTAAGATTGTGTGTGTGTGTGTGAGAGTGTGTGCGTGTAAAAGTCAACCTGTGAAGTTTTTGTATACTATTTCAACGTTACAGAACACGTTGGTGAGGCCTCTCTGGCGTTTTTTTCAATATTTGTAATGACTGATCTCAGGAAATTATTCCTTGAAACTTTTATTCATTCAGTTATAAATCATGATTATGCAAATTAAAGGTGTTGAAAAGACTCACACACAAAGATCTAATCTGTTGGGTTTCTCCTGATGGGATGTACATATTCCCGTCCGAGACAATACTAACCGAGATAGACAACTTATTCACATATCATAAAAAAATATTAATATTTATTTTATATCTAATGTATTTAGTTAGTTAATGTCTGTTAACTTGATATTGATTGAATTTACCTCTTGAAATTGTGTGATTCTGCCTTAAAAAATTTATGCTTCTTTAAAGATGGTATATAGTTAATTCCTCTGCTAATGGTTACTTATTCGAATAAGTTTCATTTGAAGTGATAATAATAATTGCCACTGTCTTTAAAATCATGTCTATAACTGAAATCATAATTAGATGTAATATACTTATTATTCTAGATATGATAGAGAAGATTTGTAGCTCAGGTGGATGATTTTGATGTGGTTTTGTTCTCTGAGCTGGATGGTGAATTTGCGAAGCTTCCATCACCCTACTGGGTGACATCTTCAGTGCATACTTCGATTTGAAGCATACTTATTATTCTGTATGTTATTCTAACAAAATTTCTTGCATATTATTATTTCCTTTAATTCCTAGATGAACATAGGGCTTTAACCGCGCGTCTCTATTGCGTTTGGTTCTCTGCCAACGTTTCCATCTGGCTGCATGTCTGCCCACATGCTTTCATCTCCTCTTCACATCATCTCCTCCAAGTCACCCTTGCATTGACGACCAACTCGCCGCTTCCCTTTGGGGATCCACTCGAGGGCTTGTCTAGTGATGTCGCTTGATGGTTTCCTCAGAGTATGGCCAATCCACCTAACTCCATTTCTTCCTGCATATTTGTTGCACAGTCGTTTCCTACTGGGTTGGTTCACCCCCAGAGATCCCTCCATGTGGCTGATCTTTTCTGGCCGGCCATCTGATCTTGAGCGAAGACAGTTGTTGATGAAGGTTTGTAGTTTGTTTGAGGTGTCCTTCGTGACTCGCCAAGTCTCTGATCCGTATGGTGGGGAGTACTGACTTCACATTGGAGTTGAAAATCTGGATCTCACTTTTCATACTGAGTGCTGTTGACTTCCACACAGACTTGAGAGTATTGAAAGCTTGCCTTGCTTTCCCGATCCTCCCCTTAATATCCTCATCAGTTCCGTCCACCTGTAGTTGAAACGATACTTCCCAGGTAAGTAAAGGAGATTGTTTCTTTCAGGTTCCTCCCATTTATGCTGGTTGATTGTTGTCTGTTGTAGTTGTTACTGTTGTTGTTGGCTGAGAATCTTCATCATTTCTGTTTTCTCTATGTTCACCTGAAGTCCTTCCTATCTTTGATGCTTCTTCTACCAACAAAGTTTCCTACATAACTTAATTAGATTTCATTGCAGAATGGTTAAGTCAGTTGTTATTCATACTGGTGAGTATGCTCTCAACATGAATCATATATAATCTGAATATCAGCTGCCGCTTCACTGATGGCTACTGGGTGGATTTCCTGGAGCTTCAGTAGAAATTCACCAGCCAGTGGGGTTCACTATGTGGAAGTGAAATAGAGGCTTACCGAAGGCATCGATGAGGAAAGTTTTATATTTTAGCGAGTTGATAGAGTTAGAATTCAGAGGTCACTGAATTTTAGCCCAAGTGACTGAATGGTCAATGAGCTCGGTCTCGTAGTCTGAAGATCTCAGGTTCAATCCTTGGTGGGTGTCGTTGGTGAACACTGTTCAAGAGTCCAAACATAGAACGAAACGGCTGTCCAGTTCCCCCGGGGCGAAATTAATTCAACAATAAACATAGTAGCCTTATAGTCAGTTGGTGGATGGTGGATGGAATCCAGGACGTACATTTCTTCCTATTTGGGACTCGTCAACTGGATGTACCTGCATTCTCCAGTAAGTTATGGTGTTCGCAGATAATGAGTCCAAAATGGGACGAAATGCACATCCTAGATTCCAATGCTAGTCACCATCCAACAAACGGACCTCAAGTTACATGACTAGACATCGTCGAAACATCCCCACAAGAAGCCGACATGTCAACCTGAGGCCGAGCACTTCGGTTCAATCAGTCGATGGAAAATCTAAAATTGAGATCTAAACAGTAGTCCTCTTTTTACCAATTGATTAATTGAAATGAAATTCCACTAGAATGACTAATCTAGTGAAGAAAAAACAAAATAATATGCGCCTTATATGTATAGGAAAACTGACTAATGATAAAGAGTTGAAACCACGTCGTGGCCAACATAATTTTATAGATAGTGGCTAAACAAAACTTTTTACCAATAAAAAGCCTTAATTTTTCGTCTAGTAAACATTTAGTAAGTTTATCATAAGAGAGGAGTTGTACAGAAAGTGAAATAATAAGAAATCGACTTCTGTATAATAATAAAATACATCAAGGCTACTTGAACCATCACTTACTATCAATGCTGGCCTGGCTTTGATCACTGAACCAAGTGAATTTCCATTCAATACGACGTACTGTATTCCCCTCTAATTCTTCGTGTTTTGATCATCGAATTATGTCATCACCGGGTACAAAGTGTACACATTTTTTAATCGGTTTTCAACCTGCCAACGTGATAACGGACAAGTCTGTATGCTTCAGATAGAACAGCAATGCTTTTATATGCTATACTACAGATTGCTTCTTTACTTAGAGATCCTGGATGACGAGAAAACATTACGCAATAGATAACAATGAGAATTCTGTACATTGTGTAAACATTTTGTACGGAATAAAGCTATTTTCATTAAAACACGGGATTGAAAATAGCATCTCTTATGCGTTCTGATAATTTCTCCGTTGCATTTCTTTAGTTGTTTATTACGTGCATCGGTGGCACAGCGGTTAGGACTCTTGCTGACCATGCCCACGTAGTACGGGATTCGATCCCCTGCCGGCGCACATCCGATAACACTGGTTGGCCTGCAAAATTGGGCTACCGATATCACATGCTGAAAATTCCCATACTTGTAGGAAAAATACGGTGTGGTGTCGTCAAGCGATAATCAAAAAAAGAAGTGTATATGAACTGTCTCTCACATCCTTCGCTTCTTAGTTGGAACATCGGGAGCTCTAAGCTTTAGGTTTTTAAGTTTCATTGGTGAAGGTGGTTTTTTTTATGGACTGAGGTTGCTAGTCTCACACCCAACCTTCCCTCTTTTTCGAGCATACTACTGGCAAAACAATGGAGTTCTTAGTCCGGGAATCTAACCCGAACTTTCTGCATAGCTGGAGAGCATCGTTCCATTCGACTGCCGAGGACGTAGTAGTATAGTGTGACAGTTATTTGAGGGGTATGTGGGTGGATTGATACCTTTTGCTGACTTTAATACTAAGGTTAAACTGAATGTTCCTTTGATAGGAAAACGAGTTAGTAAAGGTTAACCGGACAAGTTAAACTTGAAGCACCGGTAGATACCAATTGAGTGTGACAACACTGATGGCCTTGAAACGCCCGGTGAACAACTTAGCGAAATATGGTGAATAATAGTGAATTCATGAATAAAATATACTTTATGATGTATTGTGTTATTAAATGGGATATCTGGCAGGTTTCTGGTTAGGCTTGGGAAAGATTAAGTTAAGGTCTTGGCTAAGGACAGGTTATGGTTAGGTGAACCTAACATTAGGGTTGGCTTGAGTTAGGTTAGGGTTAGTTTAGGGATATTTTCACGTGAGGGTTAGGTTTAGGGAAGATTAGGGTTAGAAGACCCAGATAATGAATTACATGCGGAGGATGTGATTAAATTACTATGTTGACACTCCAATCCAAAAGTGAGAGGTATTTCTGTCACACGTCAGAGAGGGGTATCCTGTGTAACAGTTTCATGCCATTAAATTCATTATTTTCGTGAATATATATATATATATATATATATATATATATATATTATGCCCAAAAGTCGCCTTTGTCAAGTGATTGGTGCGTTCAAGGTCATTTGTCCATTGGTACTTATTGGTGCTTAAAGTTTAACTTTCCCTGTAAACTGTACTAAGTCAATTAAATATGTCTGCCATAAAACTTTACTGGCTAACTAACTAACTAACTAACTCTGACTTGATTTCAGTGATATTCTATCTGCCAATTCAATAAAAGTTCTTTGTTTACTTCCGGTTCTCGTATGTTTTACACCTTCATATACTGATTTTAAGAAATGTTAAAATAATTGACTACATTGTAAGCTAGTTAGACCGTATCTGAATCGGTGAACTACATTAGATAAATAGATCCCTTAGCATATAATTTTTCATAATCTGGAAAAATACATATTTTCTGAAGTTAAATAGTTAGAAGAAATCACTTGTAGTCTTTGTACTCATCAACCAGGTATATATGTAAAGAACAGAGAAGTCGTGACCAGTAAAGTTCATCCAATCAAGTATGAGGATGGACGTTCCACCGATGACATTAGTTGGGATCACGCTAAATCACGAATTGGTAGAAGGTAGAATTCATGCACAGGCCATTGAGGAATCGGGTCCCATTGGCTAAATGTTATACAAGATTGCTTGCCTTGTATCCGGAAGGTCCTGGGTTTAACCCTCCTGTGGTGGGTGCGTGCTGGCAATGATTCCCAAACTAGGATGGAGGAAACAGCTGTTCAGTACTCCCTGGTCTTTTATAGTACTCTAACTGATGTCAATCCTTGGTCAAACTCGTATAAACAAATCTAAACCTTATAAACCGAATTCCTGAAAATATATGTAAGACATTAATTTGTTTGTTCTTCGCAAAGCATAAAATAACGCGATGCAACAACAAATCCTGGATATTTAATAGTAAAAAAAAGTTGAATTTAATAGTGTTATTCTTTATGATCTTTCTTGCTAAATTATTTTAAAGAATATGTTAGAGCACATAAAGTTCATATTAGGGATATTGACTGATTCAGTATTGGATGAGCTGTGGTTAACTTCACAACAGTTGGCTCTGATGCCTCTTTGGTAAGTGTGTCGGTGGTTTAGTGGCAGAATACTGACTAGCCACTCACGTGGTCCAGGGTTCAATTCCCAACCGATGCACTCTGACACCTCGCTTAGCCTGTAGTAAGCTCAGTAAAGACGGAAAGTTGGCACTGGCGCTGGTAAAAATAGACACCACGGCCGTTGAAAATTTTTAGAGCCTAGTCTTGAGTCCCTACATTCCATCTGGAACGTAAAGGAAGGAATCTTCAATCAACTAACAGCTTTTTTGCTCTGATAATAGAAACACGTGACCGATAGAAGACAGTTGAACTGAGTAAATTAGTAAATATATCTAGTCAGTAGCTTTTATTGTCAGAGTGTATCTCAGCGTCACTACCATTGTGTTCCTCCTCCATGAGTAACAATCAATACGGGTCTTTAAATGCTTACCGTCGGTATCAGATAAA